TCCTTAACACGCTGTCTGTTGGTTTAACTATTAATCAGAGATACCGTGAAGAATAAAGGATTAGAGCCAGAGACAGATAGGTTTCAATATGGCTCAGCTGAAGCTATGAAAGGGGCGAGTCATTTAATGTTCTTCTGGACTCAGTTGGTAAAATAAGGGGGTTGGGTTAGAATCATAATTTGGTTCTTCTCAACTCCGTAAGAGTCAGTATCACTTCAAAAATGAGGTTTTACTGTTGCATGCATGGAGTAACAGGGTGCATAGAACTAAGGGCTGGGAGGATGTCCCTTATGATTTTTTGAGCTTGGCATTTAATATTTTACAGCAAAGTTTTTAGCTTAACATAATTGAACTTGTACTAGATAGGGTTAATAGGCTAGAACAAAAGGTCAAAGCATAAGGCATTAGGCTTAATTAAGGGAGAGCAGGAGTGGCAGGAGTGTGTGACAGTTAAATGGGTTTCCCACAGACTAATGTCGGTTACAGTGCAACCATGCCTCAACTTAAGTGGGTTATTTTGTGCAAAGGGCAGCAGTGATTAGCAGTTTGACATGCCAGACACTTCTGGCCAATCCCATCTGTTTTAGAGGTTAAAAAAGCACACCTTTATGAGCTGATGGATTGATTTGTGTGCCCGTCTGGTAAAGATTAGAAGTCCAAGGCCAATGCAGTAAATGTCAGTTATGGAATATTGTACTTTCTCCATTGGCTCATTGTTTTAACCGTCAACTGTTTTATAATGGTGGATTACTGCTGTTTATGGAGGTGGATGCAGGTTGGGCGGGGGAACAGGTGAGAGAGGAAGAAAAATATTTCCTAGACAGAATTGTGAATGCACATGTTCTTAGCAGGTGTTTCAAATGGAGATACGGCGTATTCTAGGCAGACTTGATTTTTATGGAGTATTTTTGGCCTGTTCCTTACAGTTTAAGTCACGTTGTGCTTTTCTGAGTGTTATCTGAACAACCCTGTCAGTCCAGGACTAAATTTTACATACACAATTGTTAACTTTCTTTATTTAGGTAACTCTTTTTCTGACAGATGGGTAGTTTATCTCTGATACTATTTATTAGTATGATTATATATACTTAAAAGTGTAATATTTTGTTCATTAACCTCCTGGGGAGGAGGAAAGAAAAAAGCAAAGAGAAAATGGGAAGAGGCATACACACACTTGCACATGCGTGCACACTTGCTTTGTGGGTAGGATTTACTAGGCTCACCTGAGATTGATGCTGTTAAAATAAGTATATCTAAACCTGGAGTTGGACTTAACTTCCTTCTTTGAGAGCTGGAGGAGTGATGCCATTAATACAGTTCATTTTCAGTTCAAGGTTGTAGCCCATTTAAAGATACACAAAGGCTAGTTTGTGGCTATAAAAATTGGCTTTAACGTGTTCTGATAGCCAAGGAAAGGAAAATCCTAAATTTGTGTAGATGAAATAGAACTTCAGATATTGTGATTGTAATCAGTGAGCTGCAGGAACACAAGGCATTCGTTCAGTCACTTGGGTGGACAGAGGGAAGTGTTTCAGAAATAACAAAAAGTTGTCATCTTAACAGGAAATTATTGTCAACCTGAGATTTGAGTTTAAGTAAAAATGTGACCAAGAAAAAAAAAATGTGACCAAGAACACTGGAAAAAATATTGGAAGATTCCGATTGGCCCCCATGTTTTTATCCTCGTCAGAGGATATGAACCATGAATTGCCTGTTACATAGTTATACAAATTATGTATATTATGTTAGACCCTGAGTTGCTTCTTACAGAAGAAAATTTATCTAAAGAAGAAATGGCCACTGAAAGTTATATGTGGATCATAATAGTAACTAGTACCTTTAGAAATACATGTATGCATTAATTTTATTAGTAAGCTATTCCAAAGTGAATTGGCTTAACTTATAGAGAAAAAATGAGATATTTTATTTCTCATTTAAAAAGGACAAAATGACATTATGGTATTGAAGTTTATTTAGGAATGTAGTACTTAAATAAATATGTATTTATCCTGTGTTCTTTGTGGAGTACCATCGGTTGAAACTATTTGGATCTAACACAGATTTACATGAAAAAAGTCTTGCCCTTCTGTGAAGGTAGAGAAGAAGGTGAAGAGACATACATTTTATAATAAGGTTATTTCTCTTTCACTAACTCAGCTTTAATTATAAAACATTGGCTTGAGGAGTATAAAAGTACTTGGTTAGTTAGTTAATGAAATGTGGGAGGTTTATCTAATTTAATGGACAGAAACTTTTTTTTTTTTTTTTTTTTTTGAGCGAGAGAAAGAGAGAGATAGAGAAAGGAGGTGGGGAAGGGCAGAGGGAGAGAGAGAATCCCAAGCAGGCTCCTAGTCCAGTGCAGAGCCCAACGTGGGGCTCCATCTTACAACCCCAAGATCATGACCTGAGCCCAAACCATGAGCTGAACACTTAACTGACTGAGTCACCCAGGCAACCCTGGATAGAAATTTCTTAAATGAATATTCCAGTGCTGTTATGTTAAACATAAAACAAATATCTCATACTCTACATTTGTACTAATAAACATTTTTAAAGTACCCCTGAGATCCTATCTTCGTTTCCTTCTCTTTTCTCCAGTAAATTCAAGTGCCAATATTATCTAGTTTGTATTAGAATTTTACAAAACTAAAGGGAAATATTTTTTTGGTTACCTTGTTTTTGTGTGGTTTGGTATATTCTGAAGTTTTCAAAGATATGCATTGGCTCTTATAATCTGTGGTAATCAATTTCTGTCTGTTGTATTTCCCTCCTTTTACTAATACTGTACTACTGACTTTGAGACATTTAAAATCTGCTTCTCTAAGCAAAATAATTGAATGTATGCTTGTTTAGGTTATCAAAAGAGAAAGCAGAAACTTTTAATATACTTAAGATCCTGTGTTTGCAGTTCTTGTCCTAAAAATTGTTATAGCTTTGTAACCTGAATTTTAGTTGTTAGAAATTTCATGAGAGAATGTAAAAAATAATAGCTCTGTTTCATCTTTTGGTTTTAAATGCTAGAGAATTGTGCTTTACCTCTATTCAGTCAGATTGATTTTTAACAAGCAAGCCATAATATATGATGAACTTATTCTAATATATATTCTTAGTATATCTATGTATTTATAGTTATAAAATCAGTGTGCATATGTGTGATATGTTTCAAAAAGAGAACTCTGCACCTGTTGATTGCATTAAGCATTTGGTATCTTTTAATGAGGAGGGAGAAGGTGCTATCACTCTAAGTGGATCATTCCTCCTCAGTAAATTGTATACATTTTACTTTTTTGTATTCTGTGACCTTGCAGTCAGTGACTTCAGCCCAGAATAGTTTCAAAGTCATGTAAATGAATGCAATTAAGGTATTGCTTATCATCTTACATAGTTCAGATGGAACCTTATTGGATAGAGAGATTTGTTTGCTTTATGAGGAAGGTCAAAATAAGGTTAAATTTTATTACATAAAATGATTTGGTAATGTTTTTATTTAGCTGCTGAAAAAGTAATGTCCTAATAGGAAATGATAATGCTCTTTTTTTTTTTTTTCTTTAAACCCCTGGGAGGTCTTTTCAGGGTTTTTGTTTGTTTGTTATCTGTCTCTAATAGTTATAATTCTATTTTAAGATGATGCCGTCTGTCTACTTCTAAAATTTTGGGAACATTCTGCCCTTAGTTATGATTCTGGGTATCTTTGACTCATACATGTAGGTGACATTTCCTGCTGCTGATGGAGGGTTGCTTAGGAGCAGCTGATGTATGTGCGTAGAGAATTTGTGTTCATGTGCAATTATCAGGCCAGTTGGTGCAGGACCTCGGACAGAAGGGTTGGAGTCCTAGTTCAGAAAGGAGATCTGCCACCCTACCAGGCTGATTGTCTGTAAGGGATGGGAGAGCATTAATATAGATACTAGAAGAGTTTTGCTGATGAAGGATTGTGTCTGTCTGTGTATGTGTGTGTGTGTGTGTGAGTTAAGTAATTAAAAGACAAGTATTCCTCCTTGTAGTTGGCCCATATAATTACCGTCTTTCTTTCACGGTATTATTTTTACTTCAGCATGGTATATTATTGAAGAAGTCTCGAAGATCCACTGATTGGTGGAGCCGGTCAGCTATGGGCCTCGCACTGTATTAGGTGTCGGAGGACTCAAAGATGAATGAGGGGTTCACAGTCACAGTGAGAGTAAGAAGAAGCCCGATGCCCAGAAAGTGATCTGGAAGCATAATGGTCCAAGAGCCTGCTTGGGTAGGGTGTTGAGAAAGCATTACTCAAAGAAATTTGATACCTCTATGTGGTTTTAGGGTAACTACAGACACTGGTAAAATGAAGTAATGATGAAAAGTAGCTACTGTATTTTCGGAAGTTGAAGTTGCCGTAGTGGGATCAGGGTGTCTGCGTCACGCCTTCCTTAGGACCAACTAATTTCACTGTCCATTAGCCTGTTGATCAATATAAAGTTCCCTCGGCCACCGCAGTATTAAAGTACAGGCTGTGTCTCTTGATGGTCAGAAAGTCTTCACCCGCTCTTATATTCCTGAGGGTATAAACTTGCCCACACCTTGATGTCATTCTGTATCTAGAAGGCTTCTAAATCTCAGCTCAGCGTTTTTTGTTCCTAGTGGTCTAGAGAGAAAGAGAGAGGAAAAAAAGAGGTGTTTCAACTCAGTATTGACTACAGAATACTCCTAGTAGCTTTTCTCTCAGAATTCCTCTTCATCACCTTTAGCTTCTCACCTTGAGAATAGGTAATGGTGTTTATGTAGTATAAAGACAGTGTATTTTGGTAAATAATTTTGTAAGCAGATTGTTCATCAGATACGGTCAACAGCTATGCCCAAAGAAAGCATGTATAATGAAGAATATTTTTTATCTTACATCTTTTTTGCTATTTTTTGTGATAATTTATTTTAGTCAATGATTAAGATTCCATTGTAAAACATACCATTGAAATTCTTTGAGATAAGAGGTACTTGAAGTAATATTTATTTTTCTTAATTTTCAGGGAGTTTCTGGACTGTGAGCTATTTCAGACCTCTGTTCTCAGGACCCATTATTTTAATAGTCAGGAGACACACATCTGGAAGGTATTGTATTTTGTCTGTTGCTCCATTTTTTAAAAAAAATATAGTTATGTCTTTCCAATTATAGGAAGAATATTATGTTGCAATTTGTTCTTTGTTTTTCTTTAAGTTTCAAATATTGATTAACTAGTTGTTTGATGTTTGTAACAGAGGAGAGGGATATATTTCAGTGTTGGTAATTCTGAATTTTGTGTAAGAAAGTAAAAGAAAGCTGCTTTAGTGGGGGGTGACTGGTTAGCGCAGTTCGTTAAGCATCCCGCTCTTGATTTCCACTGAGGTCGTGATCTCAGGGTCATGAGATCAAGCCCCTTGTGGGGCTCCTCACTCAGCAGGGAATCTGCTTGAGATTCTCTCCCTCTACCCGCCCCCACTCTCTCTTTTTCTCTCTCTAAAATAAATAAATAAATCTTGTTTAAAAATCTGGTTTAGTGGGATGCCTGGATGGCTTAGTCGGTTAGCATCTGCCTTCAGCTCAGGTCATGATACCAGGGTCCTGGGATTGAGTCCCACGTCAGGCTCCCTGCTCAGTGGGGAGCCTCCTTCTCCCTCTGCCTGCTATTCCCCCTGCTTGTTCTCGCTCTTTCTTTCTTTCTTTCTCTCTGACAAATAAATAAATAAAATCTTCCAAAATAAATAAATAAATAAATCTGGCTTAGATAGAAACAGTGTTGCCTATTTTAAGCACCTGAAGTATTTACATTTTACCTTTTTTCATATAGGACTATTTTAAAGAATGTTTTCATTTGAAAATGAGATATTGAAGGCACTTATTTATCTAAGACAGTATGGAATATACATTAAATTAATCAGGCAGGGCTAAAGTTCTTCCTGCCTTTGACAACTCCACCTTGTAGTATAGGGATCAGTTGCTGTCTACATTTCTGCCAGTCTTTCATCAGGATCCCTGGACACCTGACTCTGCCTCTGTCCATCTGCTAAGTTCCCTATCTGCGTTATCACGTGGTTAGATCAGTGTTGCATAATAGTTCATCTGCTTGCAAAGCCTGAGTCTCAGACATGTAATGCATTACTAGGAAGGAAGGAACTTACCTGTTTTATGTTTTTGTCTTTTGTGACCCCAAGACCCCATGTGATTGCACCAAATTAGACTAAAGTCAGTGGTGAAAACAGTTCCCTTCAGCCTTCTCCAAAGTTTCCTTCTTAATATCCACCTTTAAACCTCCCCTAAGTTTTGTGTTTTCCTAAACTTGCCTGCTCTCTTGTTTGGAATAGAAATATTTAATGATGTATTTCTTGAAGTTGTAGTGAATAAGTCAGCTTCTTTGAATACATATTTTCTTTATTAATTGGATATTTATTATTTATATTCACATGAGATAACACAGAAATCAGTGTTACAGATTTTCTTAATCACTTGTCAAACCATATGAATTCCTAGGATTGGTTACATTTACAGTCTTTTATGTTTCCATAGCATAATATATTGAACTTTTAAAGTAGTAACTTTCTGTGTTTAAAATTCTTCACCATTGGCAAAGTGGTATTTTCTCCTTCCTCTTGTCAGTTATGAGAGGGAGGGTAAAAGTGAGTAAGAAATTTAAATAAGCACATTAGGACTATAAAAGAAATTGTAAGTGAACCCCAAATGTTAACTTTAATTTTGACTATTACCAGTGAAAGAAATGATATGATCAGAAACTCCGGATTTTGTGAAATCTAGTTACCTTTTTATTTGGGCGGAGGGGTTACTGGTATTTATTATTTTTAAATTTAATTTTATTATAATTCTGCTATAATTAACACATGGTGTTATAGTAATTTCACATATACAATGCAGTGATTCAGCAATTCCATACATCGCCCCATGTTTAACACAGGTGCACTCCCTTATCCCCATCACCTATTTCGCCCATCCCCCCACCCACCTCTCCTCTGGTAACCATCAGTTTGTTTTCTGTAGTTAAGAGTCTGTTTTTTGGCTTGTCCCTCTCCCTCTTTTTCTCTCTCTCTTTTTTCCTTACTTGTTTGTTGTGTTCTTAAATTCCACATATGAGCGAAATCATATGGTATTTGTCTTTCTCTGACTGAGTTATTTCAGTTAACATTATACTCTCTAGCTCATCCATGCCATTGCAAGTAGCAAGACTTCATTCTTTTTTATAGCTGAATAATATTCCAGTATATATTATTTTATATATATGTACAGACATCTGTTCCTGTGTATATATATGGCGGTTCTATTTTCAACTTTTTGAGGAACCACCACACTGTTTTCCACAGTGGCCGTACCATTTGCATTCAGTGAATACCATTTGCACTCACCAACAGTGAAAGAGAGTTCCTTTTTCTCTACATCCTCCCCAACACTTAGAGTTTCTCGTGTTTTTGTTTTCAGCCATTCTGACAGGTGTGAGGTGATACCTCATTGCAGCTTGGATTTAGCATTTCCTGATGATGACTGATGTTAAACATCTTTTCGTGTGTGTTGGCTATCAGGATGTCTTCTTTAGGGAAATGTCTTAAAAATGCCCATTTTTAATCAGAGTATTTGTTTTTTGGGTGTTGAGTTGTATACTTCTTTATATGTTTTGGTTGCTAACCCTGTATTGGATATGTCTTTGCAAGTATCTTCTCCCATTCACTAGGTTGCCTTTTAGTTTTGCTGATTGTTTCCTTCACTGTTGCAGAAGCTTTTCATTTTGATGTCCCAATAGTTTATTTTGCTTCTGTTTCTCTTGCCGCAGGAGACCTATCTAGAAAAATATTGTTATGGCCGATGTCACAGACCTTATTGTCTTTGCTGTCTTTTAGGACTTCTATGGTTTCAGGTCTCACATTTAGGTCTTTAATCCATTTTGAGTGTATTTGTGTGTGTGGTGTAAGAAAGTGGTCCAGTTTCATTGTTTTGCATGTAGCTGTCCAGTTTTCCCAGCACCATTTGTTGAAGAGACTGTCTTTCCCGTTACATATTCTTGCCTCCTTTGTCAAGGATTAATTGACCATATAACTGTGGGCTTATATCTGGGCTCTCTATTCTGTGCCATTGATCTGTGTGTCTGTTTTTGTGTTAATACCAGACTGTTTTGATGACTACACCTTTGTACTGTAACTTAAGTGTGGGATTATAATACTTCCAGCTGTACTTTTCTTTTGCAAAATTGCTTTGGCTTTCCGGGGTCTTTTGTACAAATTTTAGTATTTTGGGGGGGTACCAGGTGGCTCAGTTGGTTAAGTATCTTCTTTTGGCTCAGGTTATGATCTCAGGGTCCTGGGATCGAGCACCACGTTGGACTCCCTGATCAGCGGGGAGCCTGCTTCTCCCACTGCCAATCCCCAGGCTTCTGCTCTATCTCCCTCTCTCAAATAAATAAATAAAATATTTTTAAAAATTTTAGGATTTTTTTTTTTTTCTAGTTCTGTGAAAAACACTGTTAGTATTTTGATAGGGATTGCATTAATGGTATAGATTGCTTGGGGTAATTTAAATCTTTTAACAATATTTGTTCTTCTCATCCATGGAAAGTTATCTTTTTAAATTGAAGATAAGAATGAACTATTACAATTAAATATTTGAAATAGACATTCAAATAGTTCATTAGTTATACAGAGGCTTGTTACACTTTTAAAGTCATGAATTATCCATTTATGAAAGTTTATCATGTAATCTCAAAATTAAGATGATGTTTGAATAAAGTTGAACTGGTTACAATATTTTATTAAAAATGCAAATAAATTCAGTTTAGTTGTAGAATTAAGTAAATTCAGAATAAGAATGTAAATTCAAAATAGGAATTGGTTTTAAGTAATTCTTTTGAAACTAATGATACTTAAGACCCCTTAAAAAAAAAAAAGTTACTTAAAACAAAACAAAACAAAACAACTTTTTACCAAGGTATAACTTCATGTAGTCAAATAGACACTCTTACTTGCTAGTTCAGTGATTTTTTTTTTTTTCTTGTTACACATAAGCATACCCTGCATAACTAACACCCTACTTCAGAAGGCTGTCTTTCCTAGTCAGTACTACCTCTACTCAACAGAAACAAAGCTATGGCATTTTTGCTATGTGTTCATTTTGCCTGTTTTTGACCTTCTTATGGCTGCAATCACGTAATACGAACTCTTGTGTCAGAGCTTTTCATCAGCATCTTGTCTCTGAGCATCATTGTGTGTGTGTCCTGTGTTCCCCCAGTTGTCTGTATTCCGTTGTGTGATCACACCACTGTTTATCCTTTCTACTATAGATGGACATTGAATAGCTTTCCAATTTGGGGCTACAAATAAGGCTGCCATGAATTTTTTTTTTAGATCATTTAGTAGGAATAAGCATTCCTTTCTGATGAGTGTATGCACAGGAGCCTAACTGCTGAATTGTGGAGCATGTGTATGTCTGACTTCAGTAGAATGCATACTTAGAGTGCTCTTTGGGATATTTTGGGATATTTGGGAAATGTCAATCAGTGTATCTTTTTGTAATGACAGATTATACTGTGATACAGATTTATTTTTCTCCAATTTTGTGTAAACTCTAAAGTTGTTTTTTTTTTTAGGAGGAATGAAATTTTCCCATCTATTAAAAATAAGTTGCCTGTTTTCTGATGCCATTACGGCATGTATTTGATCTATGCAACTTCGATCTCTCCTAACCCTACTGAAGGAAAATAGGACGTAAAACGCTCCCATATATATTTACTACTGTGGCAATACTGAAATTTTAAATTAAATCAGACATTTTATACATGAAGCTTTTATCTCATTCTTGAATTTCGGGATACTGCTTGATATCTAAAATAATACACTCTAGAGTCACAAAAAACTTACCTTAGCATTTGTGATGAATATTTCTTTCTACTTTTATCTGTGTTGTGTTAATCTTTTTGGTGCTCTAAAGTGAAATTATTCATTCTAGAACATAAGTACTTGAGAAATTTTTCGTCAGGTCTTTTTCTCAGTTTGAGAGCAGTGATGTTCATTCAAAAAAAGTATAATGTAAGCTGCACATGTGATTTTAAATTGCCCAGCAGGCACATTAAAAAAGGAAA